ATTGAGCTTTAAACTTTCCCTTCTTGGTCCAATGGTCAAAGATTTGGTCAAGGTGGATTTGGAACCGATTCCTTGCTCAAATATGAGTGTTAAACAGCCTCCTCCAAGTGCTAGTTCAACCCTTAATCGTTGATACGAAAACAGCCCCTAGAACGGGTGTTTTCCGGTTAACTCGTTTCCTAGTTTTCCAAGATTTGCTCTAGATTAGTATCTAACCTTTACATCAATAAAATAACTTTATGGGGACATATTATGCACTTTTATTAGTGTACAATAGTTCCACCAATCGTTCATATCATTTGGAAAATGAATGGAAAGGTTTTGGGATTAAAAACTCACTTAGAAGAGTAAATCCGTCCCTGCGAGGTCGCGTTCTGCTCGGACGATTTGGAAGCCTTCCTCTACTCCGATTGATGCAAACCAGACCTTCACGGATTCCTCGTCTTGAGAGCTTTCTTTTGGTATCTCACACGCCTTAATTGGATTGGTAAAACTCGAGATATCAACCAAACAGTCTCAGCACTCTCACAGCTCGAGTTCACAGACCACTGCTCGTTCCAGATCGATTTTTGGATGATTACTCTCTCCTCTCGAACTGAGACCACTCAATTATAAAAATAGACTTCAAAAGCTATCCAAGGACACCTCATACACGTTATTTGGTTGAGGATAGCTCCTATAATGAGAGGAGACAAACAGCACACCAATTTGTGCGAAAATAAGAGTGGTGGCCCCAAACTTTGATTCTTATCAAGTCATGTGCAGCTCTTCTCCATAATGGCCGGCCAAGGTAAGTCTCCTAACCCATTTTTATTTGTCTTGCAGGTACTAATATCATGTGGAGTGGTTCCCAATTGATCCCAATCATTTTGGGATCCAAATTATCTACCAATACTTCCAAAAATGGGGAAAATGGGTCCTATTGTTTTATCTTTGTCAAAAGATGTCTTTTTGTACTCATCCTAATTTATTTAGAACAAGTCAACTTCTCAAATCACATTATTGATCTCCAATATGTGTAGGCTCATCCCAATAATTTACTTGATAGATATTATAGAAGGAAAATCCTACTCCCATTATTTAGCTCAATAAGGCCAAAGGTGGGGTTATAGGCATTTGTATTCTTCTTTAATCATCCTATCACTTATTTGACATTTGTCATACATATTATTGGGCTACTAGCCGTGTGGGTCACCCCCGAGTGGATCCAGAACGCCATTCTCGAATACTTGCTATTTTTAGCAGGTTGGGCCCAAAATGAGTATTCGCAAGCCCGATACTAATATACGAGTTCGAACAGTATAATAATCGGTCATTAATTACGTAAAACATTAATCGTTTAACAAATGTTTGGGAATCAGAAATCCAATACATAAACTTTGAATTTTAAATCAAATTTTCAAGGACCTTCGGGAGCGGTGTCACATTTTAGTTGGAATGGTGTGCACCTTGACAGTATAGTTCTTTATTCAAGAGTTTTGAAAATAGTTTTGACAAATTCCCTAGTTTTGAATGTTTGATAGTATAGACTCTAAACTATAGATAGAGCTTTATTCACCAGGGATTTTCTTCTTGTAACTAGAACATGTAGACACTCTGGTCCTTTTCTTTTTATAATTCATGTGGTAATGTGTGTGATATTCTTCGTATTAGGAGTCTGGTGTGATTGTGAGAGCGTCAAAGAAGAGTATGGTGGAGGATCTAGAAGCAATTTAGCTTCAAGGCTTGCCTTGTAAGGCTCTATAAGCTTTGACAGAACACTTCTAATGCATAATTTAGAAAAGACACTTTTTTAAGCGAAAAGTGCACATAAGTGATGAGGTGGGGCTTAGCTTAAGAGTGAATGCACGAAGCAAAGCATAGCTTTTTCACAAAAAGCATTGCTTATGAAAAATATAAAAATAAAATACAAAATGCCTGGTTAAGGCAAAAACATATAACTAGTCTGTTAGGAATACTGTACATAGACTCTAGCAGATTTGTACTAATTAGTTTGTTATATTAGTTCAAGTCGGTTACTAGTTTGTTGAAGTCTCAAGGACTATAAATACATGTACTGTACTCCTGATATCAATAAGAAGTATTCATTTCAGATCTTATTACATTTCTAATATGGTATCAGAGCTGTAGCTCGTTCCTTCCGTGACAAACTCGAGTTCCACTGCCGCCTCTTCTCCGGTCACCGGAAATGTCTCTATTGCG